CTCCCTTTTTACCTGGACTTGGAACTGGCTAAAAAACTAGCAAGCGGGTTAGCTAGGCGAGGTTCTATATACATGCTGGAGTAAATTAAATTTAAAGTAAAGTTTTTTTTATTCCGATAGTTTTGTACTTTTTGTCGACTGAGAAGATAGATGATTTTATTCATCAAACTACCAAAGAAGGGAGACTTAAGCCTTTTCAGGATCATGCTGTTGTCCATGTGGAGCAAAATATTAAGCTACATCATCCTGGAGATACTAAAAGATACTCTATATGTAAAACTCTGTCCACAACAAGCTACTTCAGGTAATTTCAAACTATGTGCAGATCAAACTGCAGCACCACATACCATCATTGAACACAACATAGAATGCTAACTTCATTGACTTTACAAAGTCTTTGACAGAGTTGAAAGCGATGTAATTTGAAAATACTATGAAGTGCAGTTCCACATGTCAAGTGATCCACAACAGAAAACCCAGAGATGCCTTTAAAGTAAGCATAGAAGTAAGACACAGTTACTTAATATCCTCGATGATATTTCTGATCATGGTGGATTGGGTCATGCAGCAGACCTTGGGGAGCCAGGAGATAGGAATATGCTGGGCTGACAAAGTACTCTAGAAGACCTGGACCTCGCGGGCGATTTATAACTAATATCATATACTGTCAAAGATTTTTTTGATTGGACATTAGTAACTAGTGTGATGTGTCTAGTCCTTTCTTCGCTGCAAACTGAATTCTATCAGTCAAGTTTGCAATGTGGCCACCATGCCACTAGGTGGTAGCTCGCCAACATGGTGCACATTGATTTGATGATCTATTAGATGGTTGGAGTCAGTCGACCACAGGAAGCCTTGCCACGACCTAGGTTTCGTGTTAGTTGGTACTCATCAGCAAGGCGTATCTGCAACCTTGAAGGAAGGAATTCATGTCCCATCTGAGATTCGAACCCTTGTCACCCAGTGCGGCCTGCAGTCAGAGACGTTACCGCTGAGCTATTCGAGCTCAGTTGAAGATCTGAAGGTGAAAACCAGAAGTTATCAGAAGCGGCAGGACTTCAAGTGAACCGATAGAAGACGGAGGTGTTGAAGGCAACCAACAACAACAACACAAGTACCAGTCACTATCAACAGCATAAATTCTAGGGCAGTCTCTTCATTAACCTTTCTGAGCAGTATCGTTTCAACTACATAAGACAAAGACGAAGATGTCAAATGCGAGGTAGGAAAAGCCAGCTCCATCTTAGAACATCTGATAGAATCCGGACACCAAGCTACACCCAAAAAAAAACTTCGAAATCGTCTACAGAGTAAGAAGTAGTCTTCCTAAAGGTGTGTACGAATCAGACTTGTTCAAACTGCAGAAGCAATGGCGATTCACTTGCTAAGTCCTGAACTCTGCATACAGAAGAAGTTCGTTCACAATCACTACACTTGCAATGGACGTAATCTAACTTATTACCCGACAAGTAAATTCTACCTCACCTTTTTTTGTCTGAGTCTTCATTAGTATTATTTTGTCCTCTCAATTGGAATATTTTACATTTTCAACTTTGCTGTTTTCTACCCCCACCCGATTTAATTTCTGCACCTCACACTACCACTGTTACTGACTTGACCAACTCTCAATTTCTAGTTATTTATGTTACGTCATCCAACTTAATTGCTCAATTCCAGTTCTAATTTAAATGGCATTATTCTCTCCCCCACCTCTACTCAGTCTGCTCTACCTGTAATTACCTCTATTGCTATCCTGACCTAAGTTGAAACATTTCAGTCATCTAACTTACTAACTCAATCTTACTTTAGTTGCTGTCTAATTAACCTTGTTTCTATATTAGATCATTCTTGTATTACCTAATTAATTATCGAAACTTGAAAAACCTCATGTACACACACACACACATAAATAATTCTATATGAATGTGATTATACAAGTATGTGAATGAATTCGCCGTCGAAAAGAGTCTCTTCGCTGAACGTCTTCTCTTTTTCAAAAGCAAGATAGTAAGACGTTCATTACTCTAGAATCAATGCAGAAATCTCCGACACTCAGCATGAAGGACAAGATCCAGATATATTAAACACTGATGTCAGTTTAATGCTTCCATACGTTTCAGAGACTTGGGACTTATCCCAAAAAGCCTTTCCAACAAGCTACTGTAGAATTCCGTCAACAGCTGCTCTCTCGCTCAACTGTGAAAATCAGATATCCACGAAGTCCCAGTAGAAAAGGAGTAAACCAACCAAGAACCTACAGCCCTACAGATATGCAGAAGCAAATTGAGATGGATGAATTGAGCGCATACACTGGGAAGACTACTGAGTGACATCTCGTGTGACAGGCGGCCGACTGGGTAACAACCAAATGGTTATCTTAAGACGACATAGTAGAGATCATATGAGAAGGAAATGAAAATTCATGAATAATCACAGGACTGGATGAAGGTGACTACAGAGAATGGAGTAAAATGCCGATGTAATGCTGAAGCTGTAAGTTCCACTTGGAACTCAACGGCCGACAAAGTACAAGCACAATGTGCACTGACATTAAAATGTCAAAAACGAGAAAAGTCTAACCTGGCAAAACCAGAGTCTGAAACCCTAAAACACCTTGACAGTAACAAGGATATGGTAATCACAAAGTCAGACAAATGAAACGCAACATTAATATAAAACAAATCAGACTATTTGGACAAGCTGAATAGTCACATAGAAACAGGACCATATGAGGAAATTAATAAATCAATGAACACAGTTATGAATAAAGTTAGGAAATCCATAGCGGATCCTTATACGCCGAATGAAGCCGTTTCTAGGTGAGTCTAAGTGGTTTAATTTAATGCCCAAAACTAATAACCCCAGTAGGATGTATGGAGTTGTTAAAGTTTATAAGTCAGGATACCCTATTAGGCCTATAGTTGATTTTAGAAATTCACCTACTAAGAATTATCGAAATATTTAGCCATGGTATTAAATCCCCTAAAAAGCCACTCACAAACTAGACCAAAAAATTCTTATGAACTAAAATACAGATTAGATAATTTAAAATTAGATAATTAAGAAAAAACGCTTAGTTTTGATGTTGTCAGTTTATATACACGTATACCAATAAATATGGCTATAATGCTGGGAGTGCAGCTATGCCTGACTTCCACAGTATTTAAATTCCAAGGAAAAATATACAAACAAACTGAGGGAGTTGCCATGGGGTCACCAATATCCCCGTTTGTAGCAGATATATTCATGGATATGTGGGAAAGCATAGCAATTGAAACGTTCACCCCCTACCCCAAAAGTATGATGGAGGTATGTAGATGACACATTCACTGTACTTAGAACACAAGATATAGATCGATTTTTCGAACACATTAACTCGAAGGTGGAGGCAATTCAATTTACTTATGAATTAGAAAATCAGGAAGGGGAACTTCCAATGTTAGATTGCAACGGAAAAAGGAAAGAAGATGGGAAGTTAAACACACTGGTTTGTTTACAGGAAATCCATACATTCAAACAGATATTTGGACTTCCAGTCATCCCATCCTACGTCAGTAAAAATAGGATTAGTGAAATGTTTAAGTGACGGAGCACAAATCTAAGTAGTACCAAGGAAAATCTAAAACAAGAAGTGAGGCATATAAGAGAAGCTTTGAAACTTAATAATTACCCTGATAAATTAGTCAGAAAGTATGCAGGAAAATATAAAAATAAATAATGATAGTTGTGATAGTGATGATAATAATAATAGTGGTAATATTAACGACGACATGCATGGCAAATTTGCGCAAGACAATGAAAAAACCAACAATAAGGAATCTAAATCATCAGTAGTAATTCCATACAAGGAAGGAACCTCGCAGAATTCTTAACAAGGCAGGAATAAAAGTGGCCATCATTCAAACTAACCACAAACTCAATTAGAAACAAGCTTTGTCGGCTAAAAGATCCTGCCAGTGGAGCCAGTTAAACAAAACAATTTAGTTTATCTAATACCCTGTCTGTAATGATTATCAGGTCAAATACATAGGTCAGACTAGTAGAACAGGTGCAGTCAGACTAGCCAAGCATAAAAACCTAGCAAAATCTAGATTGGTTGACCCGAATAAGAAAAGAAATCCAGAGAATAGTTCAGCTACAGCACTCACTACATGCAATCACACACAACCATGCAATAGAATGGGAAAGGATGACAGTTTTAAAATCGAATGTAACAGGGTGAATGAAGGGAGAGATTGATAACAGAAGCTTTGTTTATCGAATCAACTGAAGAGAATACGTGTAATAGGAATGATTCAACACCTGTCCCAGATATCTGAAAAAATTCTACTACCCCAACGGTGACAAAAAGGAGAGAACAAAGAAAATTATGAAGCTCAAGTTTCGAAGTCTTGTGATTATGATTGATGGTGAAATGATTATGAATAGTAATAAATCGTGTTCGAAGCTTTGTCACCCAGTAAATAATGTTGTTTCACTGTATGATTTGTCGTCATTGCGAGGGTGACATGTAGGAGGTCATGTGAAGAGGAGATGAAATCATGTGGGCAGACGTGCAGCCAGTTGAAAAAGTTGGCAGAGAACTGAACGCAATGGAGACGTGCGTGGCTGAAACCGTATGTTCCTATAGGAACTAAAGGAAGCAATAGTAACAAGATGAAAAATGTATTAGTTCTCAGGGATGTCACTTAGGGAACTACTGAAAAATAGATAGTAGCGGGCAACTGTTTCATCCTATTAAAGAATTTCTCATGAGTACACAGGATTTAATGTGGCTGGAGTTACGAGGTCGATCCGTTGACCATTTAACAACTGGAACGGAATCCACTGCCCAGTGAATTCTAACTTCCCCACGCATTTCGCCCCCGCAGTCTGCAATACACAGTGCTACCTCAAGTTAGTGTCATCTAAATGAGTTTTTCTGCTCATAAGTGACTTGGTAGAACTTATAGAAACTACGTTCTGTGGTCAGTCAGTAAATTCAAACTAAATTCACTTACCGTCGATTTTGATACCATGTTTTAATTTGTGATTCAGATAGACCCAGATGTGCTGCAAGATCAGCTCTTTCTGTAACACTCAAATATCTTTGACACAGAAAACTTTGTTCTAAGCAGAATAACTGCGACTGTGTAAAAGCAGTACGTTTTCGTCGATAGGGTTGTTGTTGTTGGTGGTGTTGTTGTTGTTGCTCCTGGTGCTGTTCTTCTTGTTGGTGTTGTTGTTGTTGTTGTTGCTGGTGATTGTGATTTTGATTGTGCTGTGCGTGTAATCGATCTAATTCACTTAACTGATTCGAAGTAAAAGTTGAATAAATTGATGCTTCATTTGAGAAAGTTATCAAATCGACTCCAGGCATAAACAACTTAGAATTTGTAGAATATGTCACTTGAAGAAATTTAGACGGACAGTCTTGATTGTGATTTGTTATCGAATAACCTTAAATATGAAAAAAAAAGACAAATATGTATATATGTCGATGATACATTTATCTTAGCTGATGAGAATGTTAACATAGACGAATTGTTGCTGAGATTCAACAACATCTACCCTTCGCTTACCTTTACTTGTGAAGAGGAACAGGAGAATAAACTACATTTTCTGGATGTCTTGCTAAGTAGGCGAGAAGATGGGCCGCTTAGGAGAAGCGTGTATAGAAAAAGCACATTCACAGGGCAATACACACACACACACTTCCTTCTTTAGTTAAGTGCCAATTAAATATAAAACGAATGTTGTAAAATGTCTCACGAGCAGAGCAAGAAAGATATGTACGGATGACTTCTTACAAAAGGAATTTGAATATGTTTACGACTCCTTGATGGAGAGGGGCCGGCTATTCCAGTAGTTTCATAGAGAAACATATGGAAACATCAGAGAAAAAACCTGAGATTCTGGCTGCACGTAAAAAGCCTCTATTTATTGAGCTACAACTTAATGGTGACTTATCAAGTGAGATTCTATTCCAAAGACTTTCCAGGAGTATACGGAAAATGTTTTACTCAGCATACCTATGTTTGTCATTCTCTAGCCGACGAATGATTGTCACACAAACGAAGGATAAGCTAGATAGTTTTGCCACATCAATGTGCATTTATCAATTCAACTGCACCTGCAGTGACAGTTATTTTGGACACACTACTAGACAGCTTGACCAACGTGTTAGTGAGCATCTTCCATTGTGGTGGTTTGGCAAAGGACAGACAAACACAATCCGTAGCTTAATTTTGTCACATTTGATGGATAGTAGTCATGTAGTCGAGAAAATGAGAGTCTTCAAGGTTATTCATCGTATCCCACCGATTCTTTCCAATAGACTTCGTATTCGTCTACTGCACACACACACACACAGCTGAGACAGGCGATAGGCATTCGAACTATTCAACCTAAACTATGCATTCAAAAGAAGTTCGTACAGCTATTATCTCTTCCTTGTTGGCCTGTTAAGACATGACCAACTAATGACTTCTTCACCACCCCTTGTTTATATTTTCAACCCCTCTCTTATCATCCCTTAATCTTATCGCATCTTCATTAAAAACGTGTTTCATTTACTTCCCTTACAATCTAACATTACCTAATCGGTTCATTTGTTTTTACTAGCCTTTATCGACTACTTCCACTATCGTTTTATCCTATAGACAAAACACCATGAATGGTTTATATTTGAATTTTTATTTGTAAACTTATATATATTAGAGTTAAGCTTGATGAGTTCTAATCGAAAACAATATTGTCCGCTTAAATGTGTTGTTCTAAATATATAGAAATATAACGTTAATGAAAATATTTAAATTTTGATGTTTTAGGTAATGACTGGAGGTGGTGTGAATATCTGATAGGATTCGAACTAGTGGTCAGAATCCTACTGTGACTTGGGTTTCCATTTCACCATCATCATCCTCTGCACACCGATAACAGACTGTCGACCAAAGATTACCTATTATATAATCTCATTATCAATGCAAATATTGCCTGGACATCGATAAAAATTACAAATTTGCTCCGAAAGATTAGAAGTACTTTCCATTCATGCAAATACGACTGAATGAGAAATTTACTGTGATGCCATTGAGGGAAGAATTCCAACATCTTTGAGAATAAGTCTGAGACGAGTGATGTTCTCCCGTCCTCCACTGATCTGTAGAAGGTTGAAACACAAAATCTCGTATCTGACCATGACTGTGTGTATATAACCGTGATGCAATACACATTGGACAAACTTCGCCAGAGAGAAATCAAGGTACTCAGAAGAAATGAACACCGTAGAGTGAATGACTATTCGACCACCGAGAAATCCAGCTAGTGAACTAGAAAAGCTTGAGAAACCATCCGCCATAGATCTTCTACCCTCTATAGAATCAGACCACAAAATTGATTTTGACAATATTGAAATAATCCAGGAAAAGCATTTCAGAAATCACAAAGAACGTCTAATAGCATCAGAAGTACTTCATATAAAATGGAATCCAAATTGTCTGATGAACAGGAATGATGCGCTTAAATAGAATTTGATCTGGTTGAAACACCCCCCTCTCCCATGAAGTGACAAAATCAACACGAATTGGATAAGCAATAACAGAACTACAAAACAACAACATTGGTTCTTGCACCATAATATGGTGCCATCATCGCTTATTTCGTTGCCTTCTCATCCGCTAAGCTCCGTGCTTACAGCCTAAAGAAATTATCATTAAGTTTATCTACAGAAAAGTTTTAACATACTTGCAAATTTCACATGATGTCAGTTGGCAGGAAGCTCCACAATTAGCGAACACTGCTCAGAAAACTAAGTTTACATAGTCTTTACACAGGCAGTTCAAGTTTAAACAAAATAAATGTATGCATACAATGGTAAAGGAGTTATCTAATAAAGACGAGAGATGCGTAAGATGCTGAGTGACTAATAAATTAGACAACAATGTAGTGTCAACAGAAGACTGAGTACGTCACAAGCCAGTGCCTATCCTGCCATCGAAAAACATACCCTTTTGATGCAGTCAGAAGTCTACAGATACCCTTCTCATGTTAACTCCGACTCTGTATAAAAATTTACATGTATCTGCGGAAGCGGTTACATTGGGAGAACAGAAAGAAGAAAGGCACACCTCTGATTTTCCGAACATGTGACGAAAAGCCTACGTCTCCAGCGGGAAACAAATGCTTACAAGAGGGCCATTATCAGGTATCTCATTGACACGGGTCCTGAGGTGGAAATCGCAAAATCCTTTAAAATTATCAATAGAGAAGGGGGAGCTCGATTCTCCTCAAGTTTACCAAAAGAATCTTTATCAGACACATGAAACCCAATTTATATGTGTGTTCAGAAAGAAGCAGTTAGCATCAGTCTATCCTTGTCCCCATCCTGGTAACTGGATGTCTTCATCATCTCTCTTTCATTTGATTACGTAATCTTCCGCTTTAACCCTACTCCCCTTTGATGTAGTGTCATTTTCTTTACCTGTCTCTTGTTTCTCTGATTTGAGTTGAATTCAGTACACAGTCACCGAACTTATTAGTTACTCATCGTGTTAGGCACCTCAAGTCTTTATCGTGTAACTCCCTGACGATTGTCTGCACACATTAACTTTGTTTCAACTTGAACTCCCATTGTAAAGATTATATAAGGGTAGTTTCCTGAGCACTGTTCACTAATTGCAGAACTTTCTGTCAACTGACACCATATAAAATTTGCAAGTATGTCGAAAGTGTTTCTGTACATAATAATAATAATGATTTACTTTATTCCAAGAACAGTATTTGGGATACAGAATGGAATTTTCAGCATTAATCACAATATTGCATCTAATTTCCTCAAATTATAAATAAAAATTAATCACACAGAAATTTTTCCACATTTACAATAGAGGTAGTGTCAAAAACATGCAGCGTATAAAATGGAAATAACAATAATAGTGATAACAGCTAGGGTAATAATAATAGGAATACAAGTGAAAATTACTGCGGGCTTGTTTCACACAGTATTGGCAATGTGGTATAGAAATCCTAACATGTTTAAAAATATTGAATATAATGTTCTCTCTTTACATGATATGGTGAAGGGAAAAACAAAGATTACAGCCGTCATGGAGATAAGTTGGTGTTTGCAATTCTGAGAGTGAAAAAAACAGAGAAGTAACAGGACCATAAATATAATAGAAATAATAAAAGTAAAACTTGAAGGTATATAAGGATGGATGGAGGAAATTGTTTATTTACTAGATGAAAACAGGTTAGTTAATTCTTGTCTGACACTATTTTCATCACATAAAATACGTTCCAAGTATGGTATCATAGAATTTTTATACTTAGACGTGCGAGCATACAGTTTTCTGAAGTTACTTCTTGTTCCACCTGAGGAGATGCAAGGTGAAAGTTGAGGGTAAAGTGGATGCTCCAAGTCAGACAAATCCCATCTAGCAAACTTATGGCAAGAAGTCAAGTGCCTATCGACAACGACGTTAACTATGTGGTCCACTGGGACATCACTTACCCTACTGACGGTCTTCAGCATTCTACGAATTGTGACATATTCCTTTTAGCAAACCACGAAAGAATAAGCAAGGGTGAACAATAAAGAAGAATAGGTAGGTTGCAAGAGTTTATGAACTGTAAGAGGAGGGGTTGGTTGAGTTATGCCCGAGTGCCTTAACTTCTTAATGTAAAATGTCAGGCGGAATATTTTACTGGAGATCACTAAGACATGGAAGACCAGGAGATATCAGAAGAGAGAATAACTCCAAAATACTTACTTGATTTCTGATTTCATTCCTATATCACTGTCGTCAATCTTACAACTGTCATGAGAATCGACGACTTCTTTTAGCTGTCTTTTACATACATCTTAAGCTGAAATTAACAGTTTGACATTTAGAAGGATTCAGTTTAAGACCGTTAGACACAGAGGCGATTTACTGACTCCCTGCAGAAAGCTATTTATTATTTATTTTGGTACAATCTAGCTGGGAGTTAACAGCCATTGAAACTGTGTTAAATTATCAGCGTACTTTACAAAGTCTATTTTATCGTCATAATAATTTATTTAGGCTGTGAGCAAGCAGCTAAGCTGATGGGAAGCGAACTTGTGTTCTGCACAAACCACCATTGTTGTTCTTGCTTTATTCAAATTCACAAAGAAAAAATGGGAAAAATGCATGAAGAAATATGTAAAACTTACATGAATCATTCGATGAATGATTTGATTGTTGTAGAATATTTTCAATAGAAAATGAAGGTATAGTTTTTTTATTTGATAATATTGTCGGTGTTATCGCTGCTGCTGCTGCTGCTGGTGAGGACGGTGATGATGATGATGATTCTGTTTTATTTTGTCTATCCTTAAACACTGAACACATTGAATATTGTGTTTGTTTTAGTGTGCTCAGTATACGTTTTTAAATATAGTCTGTACAGAGAGTTGGTTCGAATACAATGAAATGTCTAATCATCGGTTGGATGTATACAGATTACTAGAGTAGAAACCTTTTCACAAAATGAGACGATAGATAAATGAACACTCGACTATTATTTAAGGCTTGTTTTTTTCTACATATATATATATATATATATATATATATATATATAAATTTAAACAAATTTAACCGGTATAAATAAATAGATAAATAAATAGTGTCGATTGGTTAACAACATCAATCACTGGCATCATTTTGATATATCGTTTAGGTCTCTACTCACATATCCATATACCCAACCTCACACACACACACACACAGATACACACATGCATGTACTCAAACAAGCATACCCTGACACTTATTTTCACCCAACGGGATTTTCACAATTCACTTCATTAAAATCAAGATCAAAATAGCTGTGTGGGTGGGGGGAAAGATCAAGGTGTCAAGCTGAAATGAAAAGATAAATAGATTACGCAACAATAAAAAAAATTTGCAGAGAAATAAATCTGTTACGCTAAGATACTCTTAAACAAACAAAGAAACAAATATAGACCAGAAAGGTAACCAAAAATTAAATTAGGCTTGAAATTGTCCCAGTTTATTATTATTATTACTATTGTCAATTTTAATGAGATTTCAATAAAGAGAAGGCATGGGATTTTAATCCCCCATCCAATTACATTCAACCAATCAGTTTACCTACTACTCACTTCCCTCCCTCACCACCCATAACGTCACCACCCACGCACTCACCCACCTACTCTCTCTTTCTTATCCACTTCTCACCTTTAAGGCATATAAAAGGAGGCAGAGAGAGGGAGAGAGAGAAGATTGAATATTTCTAACCTCTTAGTTAAAAGTGAATTATTTAAGATAACGATAATGATGATGATAAATCTGACCAATTAGGTTGGGATGCGTTGCATCATTACCGATGTTTATTATCGGTAAGAGTGATTACTCTTCATTCGACTACTGTTATTATTAATATCATAACAATACTTGTCCTAACAACAACAATAATAATAATAGTAGTAGTAAAAAATAAGCTCATTGTAATCAGTGTGGGTGGGGGTGGGTGAGGAAATGGGATGCTTCGTTTACATTGATTTAATGATTGTGTGTAAAAAATAAAATGGGGAAAGTGATGAAATACCCTTAGGGAATATTTATTCATTTCAAATAATGATAAGTGTAAAATGGTCAGGTTGCTAGTTTGTTAGTTTGCGAGTTAGTTAGTTAGTTAGTCAGTTAGATAGTGAACTGTTCTGTTATATAATTTACACTAGTAACTATGATTCACATAAGGTTATTTATGATTAAGACTGTGGAACAGTGGTTCTTTTTTGTTAGGCAATCAGTGTTTACACTGAATGATATATACAAGTTTGAAGTCTCAATATATATAATTTACTCATTTAGGAATATTGTTATATCTCAGTATACTATAGAAGTTTAATAAACGAATTTGGGTAGGGTTATTTAAAACGTATTTTGTTTTTTCCCTAACGTTCTCCAGTGGAACATAAGGCTTGTAGTTTCTGTAGCAGTGTTTACTTTTACAGGATAGGGTTGCTAGCCTCATACCCAACCTTTCCTCTTTACTAGCATTATTTCTGGCTCAGAGATGTAAAGGAGTTCGTCGGCCGGGGATCGAACTCCAGACCATGTTCATGGTCTGCTAGCAACCCAACCTCTATGCTACCAACGCTCATTTAAAATGTATTACGGAATGGTATTATAACTGTTAGATTTTGTCATGAACCAACAATAGGTGTAGAGGTGACTGAAAACCAGGAGGTGGTAGATGGCTGTCTCCTCCTATTTTGGGATTCGTCAGCAGTGGACACTCACGATTCTACTAGGGATCAAACCCGCTATGAAATCTAACAACTGATTATATAATTAATCCAAAACCACACAAATCTCATAGTGCGTCGGTGGCACAGTGGTTAGGACTCTCGCCGACCGTGCACATGGTTCGAGGATCGATCCTCTGCCGACGAACACCTGATATCTATGGTCGGCCTGCAGATTTAGGCTACCAATATCCATGTTGGAAATTTTATACTTGTACCAAAAATACAATGTGGAATTAGGCTGTAATAAAAAAAAATAATAATGATAAGACCTAAGTTATCAAGGATATTAGTTTGTTATTATATATTTTAAAAGACTCATTGGTGAACAAAGAAAATTCTTTTCGATAACTTCTTCATCAGATCTTACAGTTATGTGACCATGATTATTGTTATCAACAACATTAGAGTTTCAAGTAACGTTGAATCAATAATACGAATAGAATTCAAGTGGAAGGTATCTGTGAGTGATAAAATATGCATGCAATATCATATTATTGTTTCCTTCAGTTCCTAGAGGAACATAGGGCTTCAGCCATGCACGTCTCCATTGCATTCGGTTCTCTGACAACGTTTTCACCTGGATCCACGTCTACCCACATGCTTTCATCTCCTCCATGTCACCCCACCGTTGCATTGACGACCAACTCGCCGCTTTCCATTCGGGTTCCACTCGAGTCATAGCCTGGTGTGTTATGTCACTCACTTGATGGTTTGTTTTCTCGGAGTATGACCAACCCACCTCCATTTCTTCCGGCATATTCGTTGCACAATCGGTTCCTACTGAGTTGGTTCACTCGCAGAGATCCCTGTTGCTGATCTTTTCTGGCCATCTGATCTTGAGCAAAGTACTGAGTGAAGACAGCTGTTGATGAAGGTGTATAATTTGTTCAAAGTGCCCTTCATGACGCGACGCGGTGCTGTGCTAATTCTCTGATCCGTATAGTAACTAGCATTAACTTCACATTGGTGTTGAAAATCTGGATCTTGTTTTTCATGCTATGCGCTGTTGATCTCTACACAGAATTGAGAGTAGTGAAAGCTTGTCTTGCTTCCCTGACCTTCAATTTGATATCCCCATCACTTCTGCCTGTGGTTTACACGATGCTTCCTAAGTAGGTAGGTAGGTAGGTTAGGGGGGTTGCTTCTTTCAGACTTCTCCCATCTATGCTGGCTGATTGTTGTCTGTTGTTGGCCAGGAATCTTCATCACCTACCTCTGTTTTCTTTATGTTCACCTGAAGTCCTTCCTATCTATGTTGCTTCTTCTATCGCCAACTTGTTGCTTTTCACTTGCATATCTTCTAGTTTGTGGGAAATCAGACAAATATCGGCGAAGTCTAGATCCTCCAAGTTTTTTTGTGTGTATGTTTTGTCCTGTCTCTTCTTCATATGTATACAATATAACACCAAATTGAATATTAGAGAAATTAGGTAAAATATTAGAGAATTTATGAATTTATAGTGCCTGGATGAACCTGTTTCTTTTAATATACAAATGTCAATGTAGTTGAAGATTGAACGATCAATTCATGGTTGTTTGCTCAAAGCCAACTTCCCTATATTTTCGCGCAGGTATCAGTACAGCAGTCATCGTCTCATCGGTCGCTGTTCATAAAGAACGTAGAAAAACCGTCAGAAACCTTAGTTTATTATGCTGCTTATATGTTAGTGTTAGAACATAGAATTCTCGAGTCGCCAGTCGGTGTTCTGGTTTTCGCGTCCGTTACTACTAAGCGTTTCTAAAAGGCTTCGAGGGACAGCGAGAGGCCCAGCGTAACAAGAGCTGAGCATTACAGGGTTTTCGAGATGTGATTGACAACATACCTCCGGTAGATATAAGCGAATCTCAACGACCACCTCTGTATAGAGTATTCTGTACTAACTCGCTCCACAAGTGCAGTTACATTGGAAGATACAATTTGAAGTGGCTAGTCTATGTACCTCATCTCTCACTGGAGGAATCACCATCCGTCGTGTATAGAATAAGACGTGAAGTTCTTTGAACTGATTTTCTTAATTTCTTCGTAATTATTTCACTTGGTATATTACCCTTGAAATGCCGTCTATGAATTCATGAATTCGCATTATTATCTTTCCTAATTTTTTATGACATTCAGTTTATTTTTATGCTGATGCTACTGAACTGTAATCTATTGATATTATTGATTTGATGTTGTTTAAACAACCTTGATGTTGTTCATAACACTAATTCATTCATTCATTCATTCAGTATAATGTATATGCAACTGTAGAGCCTGATAATGAAGAGGTTATCGAAAAGAGCACTGTTTGTTCAGTAACCATTCTTTTGAAATAATCACTCTTTTGAAATTTTAATGGGCATTTTTAATCAATTTCATAATTCCCCTAGTAAGAAAATCTTTTAGTCAGTTTTGTAAACTACAGGCTCTCTAATAATAATTCGTGAAGTCCTATATGAATATGGAAATAATAACTCTAATTATAATATTAATAATAATCTACTTTATTCCAAAATGGACATTACCTATAAAACAGAATGGAATTCTCAGCATTTGTCACAAATATTCCATCTGATTTACTTAAAATATAAATAAAGTTAAAAATAAAAACAAAATTAACCAGAGGAATTTGTCCACATTTACGATATAAAGTCAAAAATATTCGAAGCACGAATTGAGATCATTAAATATAATAACAATAATAATAATAACATTGAGTTTGTTTCAAACAGTGTTGTCGGTCCAGTTTGGAAATTTTAGCATGTTATAGATTATTGAATCTAATGTTCTGTTGATTTGGTATGATGAGGGGAAATACAAAATTAACAGTTTTATAACACAGCTTAAATGATGTTCACACTTATGAAAAAATAAACAAATAAAAACAAAAAAATTGAGAGGACTAGAAATATAAGAAGTACAATAACAATAAAGGTTGATATTGTAACGGTGGAGGAAATGGTTTATTTAATAGTGCAAAGAAGGTTAGTTAGTTCACACTTGACACCATTTTCATCACATAAATTACGTGCCGCCAAATATGGTATAGTGGAATTTTTATACTTTGATGTACATGCATAAAGTCTTCTGAAGAG